ACAAAAAAAAAAAGCAAAACCCTTAGGAGGAAACCCCGCTGCAAATACCCTATTTCGGTTTTTGAATTAATCCAAAAATTTTAAAAATTCCCCGGGGAAAATAAATTAGAAGTTTAAAATTCCTTAATACACGGGAAAAAGTTTTTTTTTTTTGCCCCTTAAAAATCTCAGTTAGAGGACCGCAATACACTTTTTTTGCCGCGGGGAATTATTCTTTTTTTATCCTATTCTTTTTTTTCTTCTTATAAAAAAGAAATAAAAAAGAAGTAGGAAATGAAAAATAAAAAATTTCCAAGCCGGGCAAAAAGTGTATCGCAGCGCTCCTCTAATGTTTTTGCAGAATGTCATTTAGGGAAAAAAATAGATACAATGTTTAAAACCGCTGTATAAGGGGGAAACCCCCCAGAACTTTCAAAATAGTCTATTTCACAGTTCGGGGACTTCACCCATACAGCTTTTTTCAAACCTGTAGGGAGGAATGTCTAAATGTCAGAAATAGACTTTTTAAATGACATTTCTGGGACTCCTTCCATAAAAGGGGTTGAAACATTGTATCTATTTGTTTCCATAAATGGATCAATTTTAGGAAAAACAAATTAGATAAATTTTTCAACCGCTGTATGGAAGGACAGCCCAGAACTGTCTTTTTAATCTTTTTTTCGACATTTTTCCCTATGACTTTCCCCCCTCCATACACGGTTAAAACAGCTGAAGGGAGTGAATGTCCCAGAACTGTCAAAATAGACTATTTTGACAGTTCTGGGAAAATTTCCTTTCCATACGGGGGTTTGGGAAAATTTGTATTATTTTTTTTCCATAAAGGGATCCATTTAAAGGGAAACAAAATACAATACAATGTTCAACCGCTGGATGGAAGGACAGTCCCAGAACTGTCATTAATATGATCTATATTCTCTGACAGACCATGACTTCCCTCCAAACAGCGGTTGAAAACAGCTGTAATGTGAGTGAATGTACCCCAGAACTGTCAGACCTATTCTATTTCTGACCAGTTCTGGTGGACATACACTCCATACAGCAGTTTCAACCGCTGAATGGAGGGAACTGTCCATGGACTGTCAGAAAAGCACTATTAAAGACAGTTTCTGGTACTGTCCTTCTCCATACAGCTGTTGCTGAAAACATTGTATGTAATAATAGTTTCCATAAAATGGATCCATTTATTGGAAACAAATACAATACAATGTTTCAACCTCTGTACATTGTATCTATTTTTTTCCATAAATGACATTCTGCAAATACACTTAGAGGAGCGCTGCAGATACACTTTTGCAGAGCTCCTCTAAGTGTATCTGCAGAATAGAGGAACTCTGCACATACACTTTTTGCCGGCTTGGAATTATTCTTATTTTCATCCTACTGCTTCTTCTTCTTCTTCATCCTCATCCTCATCCTCAGAAGAAGAGGATGAGGATGAGGATGAAGAAGAAGAAGAAGAAGAAGAAGTAGGATGAAAAGAAGAATAATTCCAAGCCGGCAAAAAGTGAAGTAGGATGAAAAGAAGAATAATTCCAAGCCGGCAAAAAGTGTATGTGCAGAGTTCCTCTATTTCTGACAGTTCTCTCACAGCTTCTTCACATGAACAGTGGTTGAAACATCTGTATCCTAAATGTAAACTAATAGATACAATGTTTCAACCGCTAAACATGTGTTCCTTCTGTCAGAGAACTGTCAGAAATAGCGGAGCTCACTGCAGGGACACTTTTGCCGGCTGATCGGGAAATGTTCGATTCGCGCACCCGAAGTAGAAGTAGGCAAAATCGAATATTTCCTGAAATTCGACTCGAATTCCGGTTCGCCTGGTTCGATTCGCTCATCTCTAGATGTTTGGTTCATTATTGTGATTTTGGTTAATCTTTTTTTATGTTGACATACTGTAAATTATTATTGCCTAAATATATATCAACTTGTCCATGCAAGAAAATTTACGGTGTAAAGCTGCATACACACTAGAAGTTTTTTTTCATTCAACCCTGAACAAAAAAAAACCCTGAGAGATCGCTGTACTAACACAAGCGATGTTAGTGTGGTGATGTCCTCCACTGTGCTATTGCATTCTATTGCATTCTGACAGGGGGTCTCCAAAAAACCCCCACAATTGGCTGCCAATGCAAACAGAATGCAGGTCGGATGCTGGTTTACCAGCTTGTTCGTTCCTCAGAAGCGGCCGTGAGACCAATTTTTGTAGAACAGACTGCTGTACACACTGACTGATTTCGGCCCATGTGTACAAGGCTTCAGTGCTCTCCCACTGCTCCTTCCTCCATCACACATGGTAACAAAAGTCAAATCAAAGTGTCGCCTACTATTGAAGGCTTGGGAGAGTAATGATGTCACTCCCTCTATCGTGTGAAAGTGCTTGGGCCTACTGACTGGCTGTTAGATCTTTGCACATGGTCACATGGGAGGAGGCCACATGCTCATCTATACTCGGAAATACTGGTTATTGTCACCGATTGTACAAGGCGAACATCAATGGGTGGGAGGGCAGTTTACAAAGAACGGGAATGGTGACAGTATCTCTTTAAAGAGGAGTGCAGGAATATAAAAACACTATCATACTCATGTATGTGGAAGTAGCATGCAGCTTCCCCCCACTGCTTCTAAATGAGAATTGAGCAATCACAACAGCTGATCATGCAGTTCTCAGTCTTCACTGAGCAGAGAGCTGGTGACTGTCAGTCACCAGCTCTCTGCTCTGTCCCTCCAGCGCTCACTGTAGCACTGGACTGTGGAGTCAGTGAGAGTGGCTGGCTCAGGCTCTTAGAGGTACCTTAAGAAGCTGAGCCAGCTGCCTTTTAGGAATCTGGGTGGATCTCAATTTGGTCAGGATACTTCCAGACCAGAGCCCAGAACATTACAGTTTATCAGGTTTTCAAAAGGTAGAGAAGAAACTCCCTGGCCTTAGACTTGCACTGTCTGATCAAAATCTCCAATGGAGCCCAAGAAGCGATGGCTTATATAGTTTTGTTTGTACATTTTATCCTGAGCTATTGTGGTCTGTAATAGGATCTCCCTTCAGGCTGTCAGCTTCCTCCGCCAGAACCAATATAAAATGTATCAACGGAATTGCTCAAAGATAACACATAGAGAACACTCTCATAGGATAAACCTGCATACTAAAGATTTCTTAAAAACATAGGAGTACACACTCACATTTAAATTAGGCCAAAAAGGATTTATAAGTATATGTATCTATTGTGGCGTCCTACGGGCTTACACAGATTCAGTCCTGGCCATCACATGGATATTTTATATTGGCTCTGGTGAAGGAAGCTGACAGGCTCAAGGGTGACCTTAACTCCTTAACCGCCTCCCGCCCTCCATATAGTAATATGATGGACGCAAGGTGGTTCTCTCATTCTGGGAGGACGTCATATGACGTCCTCCCATTCTAACCGCGCATACACTGCTCCCAGAGCGTGCAGCGAGGCGATCGGCGGTGCGCTGTGTCCCTCGGACACAGCAGATCACTGATCCATGAAAAGAGCCGATGATGTCGGCTCGGTCATGTGATCAGCTGACAGCTCGTGAGGAGAGGAGATTCGGTAATCGGCATTCCTCGGAGGGGACATGTACACAGATCATCAGAGCACTGATGATCAGTGTGCCCTGATGATCTGTGTAGCCTCAGCAGCGCCACCTGTCAGTGTCCATCAGTGCCAACTCTCAGTGCTCATCCATGCCACCTGCCAGTGCCCATCAGTGCCACATTTCAGTGCCACATCAATGCCACATATCAGTGCCCATCTGAGCTGCCTTTTAGTGTCACCCATCAGTGCCAGTCAGTGCCACCTATCAGTGCTGCCAGTCAGTGCCACCTATCAGTGCCAGTCAGTGCCCCCTATCAATGCCCGTCAGTGCCGCCTATCAGTGCCGCCGCCTAACAGTGCCAGTCAGTGCTGCCTATCAGTGCCAGTCAGTGCCGCCTATCAGTGCCACCTATCAGTGCCATATATGAGTGCTGTCTTTCAGTGCCCATCAGTGATGCCTGTCAATGCCCATCAGTGCCACCTACCAGTGCCTCCTCATCAGTGCCCATCAGTGCCACCTATCAGTGTCCATCAGTGCAGCCTATCAGTGCCCATCATTGCAGCCTCATTAGCACACATCAGTGAAGGAGAAAAATCACTTATTTACAAAATTTTATAACAAAAACAGTGGTTTTTGGTTTGTTTAAGAAAAAATAAAAAACCCAGAGGTGATTAAATAACACCAAAATAAAGCTCTATCTGTCACAAAAAAATTATAAAAATGTCATATGGGTACAGTGTTGCATGACTGCGCAATTGTCATTCAAAGTGCAACAGCGCTGAAAGCTGGAAATTGGCCTGGGCAGGAAGGGGGTATAAGTGCCCGGTAGGCGAGGGGTTAAGCATTGTCTGTAGCACAGTTGTCAATACTTTCTGGTAAGAATCTTAAGGGCCCATGTACACGGAGCGTTTGCAAAACTGTTCTGAAATATGGAAAAGGACTGCTGGAAAACGTAGGTTAAAAAACGTCAGTTTAGCCATGTTTGCATGCCGCGTTTATGTGTGTTTGCGTTTAGAAGCGTTTTTAAAAGATAACCTCAGGAGACCTTCCCAAATGCCCAGAATGCACTGAAAAATACTAAAAAATTAACTATTTCAGATATTTTGAGAGGAATAAAGAGAGCAGAAGCAGAGAGAGCAGTATGTGTTGAGATGACCTGTCTTTTCTGGTTGTATTTACTATGGATCCCATCATGAGCATAATGCAGCACATTCTACCATTTTCTCCTTCACGCGAAACCTGGAACTGACTGCTCTGATGTACCGGGTCCATGTGAATACATGGAAAACGCTTTGCATGCATTTCTGATGATGAAAAAAGGCTCCGGACAGCATCTGGTCATGGAACAGTTACAAAATGCTTCTAAACGTGGTTAACCGTGTTTACAAGCGCTTACACGTGTTTACAAGTGTTGAAACGCCGGTAAAATCTACTCCTGAACGCAAGTTTGGCGTGTTCAAAAAAACGACTGTAAACTTAACTGCCTGTAAAAGACTGTAAACGACGATGTGTACATGGACACATAGGAAGACATTAGGGAGAGTTCAGGGGATGCTGAAAAAACACTGACCAGCTCCTGAACGTCAGTTTAGGAGCTGCAGTGTACATGAGCCCTAAATGTGCTTCTGGCTGTGGTACACTGTTCTTCTATCTTCCATCTTTAGGTTGTTGCCATGGATCTTTCAGGAGGTGTTTTTCCACTACAGACTATGAATGAAGACTGCCTTTTTTCTTTTCGCTTTTCGTTTGTGGACTTTATATGTGGATTTCTGAGAGAACATTGGACTCATTAAGGCTACGTTCACACTAGCGCTGTGTGCAGGCGGCAGAGAGGCACTTGGGAAGCATTTTTACCGCTTCCCAAACGCCTCGGACAATTCTGCACATTGCAGCACATGGTGCTGTTCTAACGTGAGCGTCACGGCGCGGCAAAACGGACGCCTCTGGTCGAGTCAGGAGGCGTTGAAGCCTCCTATTCTAGTCTATGGTGCCGCTCCGCAAACGCCTGGATGGTGTTTGTGGTGCGGTTGCAACGCGGTTGCGGGGCATTTGCGGAGCGGTAACACCATTCAAACTTCATTATAGACGTTTGTAGGGCGTTCTTAACGCTCAGCAAACGCCTAGCAACCGCCACTAAACCGCGCATGTGGCGTTTGCGGAGCGTTTGCCGAGCATTAAAAAACGCTCCGCAAACGCCGGACCAACGCTTGCCAAACGCTATAGGGGCATTTGGCAAACGTTGGTAAAACAGTCAAGTGTGAACGAGCCCTAACTTTCTTCATGCTTTTTTTTATTATTTGATGTGAACTATTTATGCACATGGTTTCGCATGTATTCAGTGATTTGTTTTTGATTTTTTGTTTTTTTCCAAAATATTTTTTATTAGAAAGTAAGGTATAGCAATATACATTCAAATACGGATCACAGTCCGAACATAGACGCATCATGCAGCATCCCGTTTCGCAGACGGGTCATGGGTTTAAACAAAAGTACGCATCTTGTTGAGATTTATCCTTAATGCAAATGTATATGGCAAACCAGTAGATACAAAGAGTATAGTAGATAAATCAAAATGGGTATAAGGATTACTGCCCTATGTAATAGTGAGCCCTTATGTCGGGCGAATGTGAAGTGTTGGGTAATGCTAGCACAGGATGACTTATATGACAAAATTTGTGTGTCCATTTTGGGAGCAGTTGAGCCATGTGAAATCAGCACACCTGTATGAGAGATTAAATGCCATATTTGTTGGGAGTATATGAATAATGAAGGCATAAAAAAAGCTTGAGATAAAGAAAAGTCAGAAAGGAGAATAGCTAGCGAAAGAGATGGGAATGTAGAGTGAGGTAGTGGGGGGGAGAATAAGAAGAAAAAAAAAAGGGGAAGGGGGGGAGGGAATGGGTAGGGAGGAAAGGGGATGTTAAAGTGGATAGTTGTGGATAGAATAATTCACATAATTTTGTACGAGCCACAAAGATAGTTGTATATTGTAGGATGCAATACGTGCAGGATCGGTCAAAAGGGCAGCGCGTGAGTCAAGAATATGAAATGAAGGCCACGATGCCGAGTCTCAGCCCATCCAAATATTATTATTATTATTATACAGTATTTATATAGCGCCAAAGGGTATGCTCAGCGCTGTACAGTAGCAAGGGGGACAGAACATGAGACAAGACAGTAACAATACAATACACGAGGGGTTCGAGGGCCCTGTTGTTTGAGCTTACAATCTAGGAGGGAGGGGAAGGTGGTACAGGAGGAGATGGCTGTGGGGGATGGAGTGGTAGGAGGAGTGGAGGAGGTCAGTTGTTAGGTGAGGTCGGGTGTTAGGTGAGGTTGGGGTAGGCTTCCCTGAAGAGGAGGGTTTTCAGGGTGCGCCTGAAGGTGAGGAGGGTAGGTAACAGTCTGATGGATTGGGGTAGGGAGTTCCAAATATGCACCAAATGCGTCTTTGCTAATACAGCATAGTGTCTAATCATTCAGCCGGCGGGTATAGGCTGTTCATGAACTAAGAGGCGATAGGTAGTGGTGGTTTTGAAATGGCTCCAACAAGCCCAAGTCTTCCTGAATCTCTCGGGATGTTCTTTTGCTACAGTGATTTGTTGTGCTATAGTGCTGTACTTTTTATTTTTAAATGTTCATGTGAGTTGAAGTATCTGAATTTATAGTGCTGGCAGCTCTTATTATTTGATTTGTTGAGCCTGAGCGCAGTGAATTATTTTTTATTTAGGGTATATTAAACAATATGTTTAAACATTTGATTTTCTAGTTCTGATCGAAAAAAAGTATGCACAAACCAAATATACATTCCTTTTAATCCTTTGCTGCCTTTTCTTCCCTTGGAACTTTTCAAGCATGCCCTGCCTGTCCAATCCTCCAAAGCAGAGACCAGGAAATGTAGGGCACTCTTTACCCACTTCTAAAAAATTTTCATGTTTCGCAGAACCTCAGATTTTCACTTCATTTTTAGCAAGTTCTGCTTTGCAAGTTTCAGAAACTACTTTGCACCTTGTCAGATAGCTTCATAGGCTTTCTAGTTCACAAGTCTGGACTTCTGACATTTCCAAAAACCTTGTCGGTTTCAATAGCTGAGAATTAGAAGGCTGCAAAGCGGAACATAACCATTCTATGAATGCTAAATATTCCATTGTACTCTTTTTGCCCAAAGCTATTTCAGATCACATGGATTGGAAAACATTTCCATGATGTTACTGCCATCATTAAAAAAATCTCTTCAGAAAAGAATTAGACTCTTTTACTTATAAATCATTTTTAAAAGTGATTTGTAGCCCACAGCTCATCAGGGCTGCTGTTTAAACCCATGGGCCCCCAAACAGGCAACCTGACAGTCCTCCCCCCACTAAAAAAAAAACACAGTTTACCACGCTTCAGTTATGAATGGCCATAGTGAGCGATCAGTGCTGATTGCTCATTGTTTTCATTCAGGAAAGAAAGGGGCTGGTAAGTGTGACATATTTACTGGACTCTCCCCCCACTCTCCATCCTGAAGGATCCTATTGTGTGCTGGCATCTGAAAGCCAGTGGGAGATGAGAAGAAGCCAGCTTTAAGTTGATGCAGAGAGAGCCATACAGGGGGTTGGTTCCAATAATATCCCCTGCCCCCCATGCCGATCACCCTCCCTGCCCACATCCAATTCACCCAGCTGCCTGGGCATCCCTGCTGTCCTGGGCCCTGGCAAGGAGAACTAGTGTTACCCCTTTATCCACGGCCCTGCAGCTCATTAGCATCGTCAGAAGTAGGCATAATTAACTGATTTCGTTTTGCTGGAATTTTGGAAAAATTTCACCATTTAGGTGAATACGTTGAAGCCAAACTTAAGGTGGTTTTAGGGTTGCAATGTGCTTTAAATTTTCTGAGTTGTTTTTTGTGTTTTTTTTAACTTATTTGTGTTGTATTTTGTTGTTGAGGGTTTTTTATCTTTTAGATATAAAAATATAAAAATGTAGACATTGAATAGAAAAAAGAGCAAAAATAGCAATCTGACAAATGTTGAAGAAAGGCAAAGGTGTGTACAGAGTCACCAATGTGCTCAGTATTAAACACTTGTTCAATGAGTATTCATTACCAGCAAGAAGTGAGCAGTGTTCAAGTCTTTGTGACAATGGTAGGGGGCCTAGTACCTATCTGGCCCATTTATATAGTAGAAAGTGGCCCCTGAGTCCCAGAGGACCCTTGTGTAGTTACCAGGGGCGGACTGACCATTTGGAAACTCGGGCACTGCCAAGGGCCCGGGGTCAATAGGGGGCCCCATGAGATGCCCCTGGTACCTTTCTCATAGGCCTTTTTGAGTTTGGGCAAGGACACA